ACAGGAATGCATCAGAGGTACAGGTTAAGCCAGAAATCTGGAACTCTGTTTTCATACAGATTATAAAAAACCAACATAGTAGGCCACCTAAAATGCTAATGGATTTGAAGATGATGACAAAAACCTGTACCTGTACTGTGACAGGACAGGAGGCAATGGACACAAACTGAATCAAAGGAGACTCAGTCATCTGACCTTAAAGACAGGCTCTTTCACTGTGGGAAGTTACTGTGCATCGCCATAGGTTGCCCAGAGAGCCTCCGTCCTTGGAGATCCTTAGACCTCAGCTGCACATGGTCCTGGGCAACTGGCTTGTAGGGGGTGTTGCTTGAAGAGGGGAGGTGGAGTAGATGATCTCAAGAGGTCCCTTCTCACCTCAGCCTTTCCATGATTCCGTGAAAATTGAATCAACCAGGTGGATGATGTCATCTAACACACTGCAGTGTGCGTCTGTGATACCTCATGCACAGTCAAGTCTAGATTTTCTTTCTAAGACACTAAGACTCCTTAGGTGTTCTCAGACAAATTATTATATTGCTATTGTTGTTGTTATCATTATCATTGTTAGTGTTATTATTAAATAGTGAAGGTATCTTACCCTTCTGTAACTTTGTCAGATCATCCTTTTTTTCCAGAAAAGATTCTTCAAACTGCAAGAAATAGAGAAGAAAAGATCACTCGTCGTTCCATGTTTTAGCTTCTTTTTCATGTAGACAATGAGGGCAGAAAGAGCTGTGTTTGGGGCATTTTATTTCTGAAACAATAAATAACATTTGAAAGCTGTCTGGTGCAATGGCCATCACCATGACAAAAAATCCCAGCTCACAAAACTCACCGATCCCCACACTCCCCTCTGCTTCAATATCAGAAAGTCTTAGTGCTAAAAAAGAAAACTTTGATTTATAATGTAAAGTACCTTCAGGGGTAAGCTACACTGTAGCAGCAGAATTAGTCTTTTGGTATTTTGAACCTTCAAATTTAACTGAAGGAAGTACCTGGAAGCTGCAGGTCAGTCAGTCAGTCACATTTTTCATAGGGAACATTAAAAGTACATATTTGTCACATGCTCTTAGTGTAAGAAAAGAGGCAAACCTCAACCCCGGCTGCTGCCAGCAGCCACCGTATTGGTTCCATTCGGCCTCGTCCATTGAAGTAGTGCAGCTTGGGTTTCCCAGACATGTTTCCACGTGCCGGATAGTTTCTTGCTATTTGGAATAAAGAAATAGGTTTTGCAAAATAAAGATTCAGAATGCTGGGTTTAGGTCTCTAATTGGTCTCAAAATTGTCCTGTATGAAACTAAGGATTTATGATTCAAGACTTTCCTCAAATTAATAAAGGAGGTAGAAGTTAGACTACACTGAGGGACTCCATTGTATCATCTTGCCTTAATAATATCTTTTATATATGCAGCTTAGTTAAGCAGAACTCCGTACTAGGAGCCATTGGCCCAGAGCAGGGAACAAGCAAACCAAAACCATTGGAATCCAAAGTGTTCTGCTCTGACCAAAAGGCAGATTGTGCTTTCTGTTTATTTTGGCACTATCTCAGCATACAGTTTACTGATTCATCAGATACACAATATTAACTCAGCAATTCCTGTGCTTTCACCAGCTCCCTTTTTTCATTCTCCATGATAAAGGGGCAGGAAGGAATATTTTTCCCTCTTGTAAGCATTCAATCTCTTTTAAAACACTCCCTGCTCCAGTAAATTTTTAGACAAGCCTCCAAAGACACAGAAATTAACTTTGTCTCTGATAACATCAGATTTGCCTTTACCACTGGCAGAGCCAAAGGGCAATGCCTGCTTTGACAGTTCCATCTGTGCTGGAACATAAAGCAGCAACAGTTTCTAGGCAGATCACCATCCACCCCATTCAGAACCACATGTGCACAGCAGCGGCAAACACGCAGACAGGGCCTGGTTTATATCACCTTCACAGTTATTAACACTGTGCCAACAATAAAGATAAAGCATTACCTGCAGCTAAGGGGAAATGGTTAAAACCCACCATAGTCCCCTTTTAAGGAACGTATCAGCTTCGCTACAGTAGGAAGAAGGAGACAAGAGGAAGCACTCCATACTTCTGAGACCTACATTTCTTTTTCTTAATTCTGTACACCTAGAAAGCAGCTAACATTTTACCGTTTCTTGCATAGAACCATGATAGTAAAGAAAGTACAAACACCTAATCTGTAAAACCCATTCCCTGACAAGTACAATAATTCCCTCTGCATCTCCAAAAGCCAAAACACTTACCTTGTGCACACTATAACTCACTCTAAGCTCTCGGTAGCTTTGCCTGGAGAATATGTAACTCACTGTAGCCACTCCCACAAAGAGAACTTCAAATGGTTCTCTGGGAATGGAAATCTCCTCTCTCTTAAGGAAATAAATCCAATTACGTCTGTATAGTTACTTCTTACCTACAGAAAATAAATTCCTGACTATTGCTGACAATGCTGACAAATGGAAGATAGATGAGAGGTCATGATCAATGGGAGCATCTGTGCCAGCACAAAATGCTATGCTTCCGATTTGCACTGCTTGGCAACCTGTTAGTTAAAAACAATTGTGATGGCTGAAAAGCTCACCCAGTTTAAAAGAATACTGTTGTCCCAGTCAGGCTTTCACCTAATATTTGATGGGTTTTTACTTTTAACCGATTGCTGCTTTACATAAGTCACATCAACTAATTCTTCTGGAATCCTTCATAAGCTTCTATCCCATGCTTAGGCATGGGGATATTCCTTCAGGACATTTCCGCTGGATTTCATTCCTGGACATAGAAGGGGTTTGTGTTTTTTTTTCTTTCTCTGTCCAAAATGTGTCCCAGAAGTTGACTTGGTGAAAATGCTCACCAAAGGCAATGGTAGGAGACAGCGAACGAAGTACAGCATGAGAAGGCAAACTGCCCTCTGCCCTCCTGATGCTTTTTGCTGGCAACTGTATTGATTTCAAAAAGTCAATGCAGCATAAACTCCCGTCAACCATCCTGCCTATCTAGCTGGTTAATACTGTTGCAGCCATCACCTGCAGTCAAGGTCAACATCCATATAAAATTCTGCTGAATTGCTCTGAGTGTAATTGCAAGCTGGGATATTGTTCATGTGTTACACGTGCAGGTTGTATCAGTTGTAGGGGATCAAATAAAAAACCCCAAGTTGAGTATAGGACGGGGGGTTCTCTCCTTCGGGTCCTTCCTGTTCATGTACTTTGCTTCTCTGTAGCTGAAATGATCCTCACCCCATCAGTCTCCACCCCTGGTACCTGAGAGACCAATGTATTCCATGGCTTGACATAAAAATAAACTTAACAATTTATTGAGAGCTGGAATCCCAGAAGGACAAGGCATCCAAACAGTCACCACTGCAATGGATTGTCTTTCAGGAGATGCCTGGTCCCTGAATGGAACACTGAGCCCCAAAAGGAGAACACTGGCACAAAAGGAGAGCCAGGCTTCACAGAAGGGGACTCCCCACTGACCGCACATCCTGTAGCCTCTGCCTTCTCCCTTGGGCTCCTTTCTTTCTTATGTCCCTCTGTCCCCTTCTTACATTTGGGGAGGTTCTTCTCTCCAGCCTCTGAAAGCCTGCAGTGTGTCTGAGTCACCCATGCAGAGCTGTCCATGCCACTGTGCATGTTCCATGGCACCTGCTGCCTTCCAGCTGCTGCTCCAGAGGGCCCGGCTCTGGGGCCTGCGCTGTGGCACCACGGCCAGCCCTACTTCTCGGGAAGTCACAGAGAGACCCAGACCACTCTGCTCTGGGCAGCAGAACCTCACTCCTGCCATTGCTATAGAAGCACAAGATGCACACATTTTGTTTTCTGTTAATATCCAACTCAAAATAATTTGTTCGTATTTTATAACGAAGCAGAACTCTGCATAGGAATGTTGTATTTGCTTGCTTGAGAAATAACTGCTTTCCTCTCTGGGCTTCTTGGAGTGCTGAATTTTGCTGTTAGCAAAGTTTTTTTGAAGAGGAGCAGATCAAACTACACTGCTGGAAACGGTGTTTCCTGCAGTTTTGCACTGAAACGACTTAGGATGCAGAATCTTAGATAATGTGAAAGAATGAAGATTGTCCTGCATAGACCTGTGCACCAAGGTGCATCTGGTAGCATTCCAGAACTCAAACTCACACTTAGATAGCTTGGTTGGATTAATAATCTGTAGGCCTCACCATAATGAACTCTTGAAGCAAAAGGTCTAATTCCGTCTGTCTCCTAATTTAGCAGGATTTTTTGAAATGTCCCTTCACTGAGTTTGTAAAGTATTTTGGAAATGCTGTTCTTTTGTTTTCTCCCTACGAGGTTCATTTTCCAATTTTTTTTTCTAATTTTCTTTTTTCTATACTTAAATCATGGCAATCAGATTTGTTTGCCAACATTGGTTGGAACAAAGTTTCCTGCTATGCAAATATGTCTCTACTGCATGAGGCCTCTTCACAAGGCTCTTATTCTGTGATGTAAGTGTACGTAAGCCCTAATATTTTATTTTTAAGTCAGTGGAACTTGAATCTCTGTTGCTGTCCTTAATGTGTAGAAAGAAACCAGCTCTGCCTTACCTGGCTCTACAAAACAGATTGCATGTTTCTTCCGTTATACTTTGTTCAAGTGAATTTCTGGTAGGATCATACACGGGGTTTGAAATAATTGATTTATGTAGAAAAATAATCAGTTTTGCAAGGAAAACATTAGACATATCTTAAAAAATCCAATTCGCCCACAAGCCTTGAAGATGTTATCCTTAAACAAGTCTACTTATTTAAAAGGTAAGTGATGCAGTGAGTCTTCTCTTCTTTAGCTCTTATTCTGAAGTTTATTTGCATGCAGAAAATATCTTCAACAAGTTACATTCTGACAACAGTAACAATGCATTGATCTTTTTTGAAATTAACAAGTTCCCTACTCTACAAATAGTTCTTTACTTCCATATTGCTTTGTTTTCATATTTTGCTAAACATTTGATATATCAATAAAGACAAAGCTGCTGACACATTGCCAGAGTAACAGACGCTTTATTTCTGGTTGGCGTGTTTTTGGGTTTTTAGCACTGCTTTTTACTACCACAATACTAATTTACTGAGCTGGGGTTGATGTTTTGCCTTTTTTTTTTTTTTCCTCCAGTATTCTGGGTCTCACCAAAGGTGGCAAGGCTTTCATCTCTTAAAAACCTTCAACACAGTTTCTACATAATGGTCATCTGGTGGGGGTTTTCTTGGGCTGCCAGGCTGCAGGAACTTCTTAATTGTAGGCATATTGCTCATTTTGGTTTTAAATGCCTAAAAATAAAATCAAAAAAAAAAAAACCAAAAAAAAAAACACAGAGTTAAGACAGAAATTCCAACACACAAAAATGTGATTTACACAGCACAGGGAGATGATCAGTTCAGGATTTTCCTCTAGCTCCTGAATATATGCATGCTCAGTAACAAAATTACCTGCAACTGAGGAAATCCTGATAACACGGCAGGAATTTTCTCCTCCACTGCTAAAATTGCTTCAATCAGCTGAACATCTGCCCAGCTGAATTTGTTGCCCACGAGAAAGTCCTGGCCATGTTGTTTCAAAACCTGGAGAACACAGGAGAATGTGGGCTGCAGATGAGAATGGGACATATGTTGCCTGGCAGCCAAGCCTCACAGCACAGCTGTAGAGCTGAACAGCAATTAGATCTGAAATTTCAGGGTGGAGTTTTCAGCTGGAAGATGTGAGCCTAAATCAGTTCTCTATTGCTGGGGGAAAAAAAAGTAACTCTTGTTCTTTTCATGTTCTAGTACACAGACTACAAAATCTGGTCACTCTGTAATGAGGAATAATTATAGAAACTGAGAACAGAGACAAAATCATATCCTTAAGTAGCCTAGTAAAAGTCATAGAATTAAAAATAGGGATAATTGAGGAACTAAGGAGTAACTTAAAGAATTTATAAAACTGCCATTTAGGTATTTCATTTAAAGTTATGTCCAATGTTGATACCAGAAAGAAAACTCAGAAATGCAAAATTACAAAACTAACAAAGAAAAATCCCTGCCTTTGGGAACATGTTATGATAGTCATAAGAACTTCTATGATGTTCATCTTTTATTATTGTTTTCCATCAAAAGTGGGAAATGTTGCCAGATGCATGAATCATATGGGTTTGGTTTGTTGTTTTTGGAAGTGGGATGTGCAGAAATCTATGACTGTTTTACAAAAGTACTCCTAGTCTCTCTACTGAGTTATTTGCAAGGCATTTCCGCGTTCTTCCAATGAAACTGCTCCAAATTAAATTAAATATAGCAGAGTTATGCTCTAAACAAGTATAGAACTATTTCTTCAAGGAAAAAAAAAATCATGTGCGCTTGCTACTTCAGTGACAAGTTTCGCTGTATAGCTGAGAACATATTGCTTTGTTTCCTTTGTAGATGTTCAAATACCATAGCCTTGACAACACAAGCCAACAAATAGAGGAAAACATGCTGCTGTATTTCCCCTTCTTTGAGATAGCCAAGAAAGCTGAGGATTTGGAACTGACCTGCATTACAAACACGTTCTTATTTTGAGCAAACTTTTTTATAATGTAAATACAATATGTGTAAACACATCCTTTTTTTCATTTACCTTTTCAAAGACTGGAAAGTATCTGTTAGTTGCCCTCTCCTTAATTGAGTCAAGATTTTTCTCCTTTGCGTCAGGTGGAGAGAAAGGAAACATCAAAATCATTTGCATCAGATCTGATATTCCTTCCACATACATGTCAATCCTATTGGTCAGGAAAAGACAGTAGAAAAGAGCACAAAAGTTATTTTATCTGTTTTCCAATTAACTAAGGCAACTTAAAGGAATTTTATACCACCAATATAGTGCCAATTTTCACAGCCAAAACTAAACAAAAACTAAACCTAAATATTTTTCAGAAACAATAAAAGCCTGCTTCTTTTTAGAAGCATTTCAGAAGTAGTTGTTAAAACATATCGTGTTAGCCTTTCTCATACCTTTATACTGGATTTACAGGATAGAATTTGGTTTATATAACGTACCTATCAGATAACAGATTGCTTATTAAGTGAAAGGCAGTGTTACGTACAGGGCTCTCTCCTTCAAGTCTTTCCCATAGAGATTGTATTTCCCTGCTATGTAGCTGAGGATGGCTCTGGTCTGCACCATCTTCATCCCATCGATCTCAACCAGAGGCACTTGCTGGAACAGCAGGAGTCCATCTAGGGTAGAGTTAGCCTGTTAGTTCCTCCTGCACTGCAAGCTGGACAGGAGAGCAAGAGACTGAGCACATTTCTCTTGGAGTGTAGGAGACCACTGATGTCTTGCCCTAACTGTAAAACTCCAGGCAGTAAACTAACATTGTGGGAAAGATCAAATAGCCTGTATCACACTTCTGTAGCTAGGTCATTGCAGTGCAGCTAGGCACTGGCTTTACAGCCTCACCAGAGCCTCACTGGCTGCTGGGAGCTGTCACTGCCTGCTCCTTTGCACTTCTGAACCTTGCCTCATGCTGCCAGAAAAAGCCTAAATCAGCATTTTCAACCCATGGAATAAGAGGAGAATAAAGATATATGTTAAATCTGAATTAAAAAAAAAATCCAATTATTTTGAATGTAGATCAATTCCCCATCAGGAACATATGAGTAGAAAGAATGAGAGGGCTAGTACTGCAGCAACACCAAACTTCTGTAATAAAGGAAGGGATCAGGCCACTTTAAACATCATGAAGCTGCAGATCTAGAGGCAGAGGCTGTGACAGCTGTTGGTGTTTAAGTAAGTTTTACATAGTCACTGCAGGACAAGACTTGAAGTGTCCCCATAGATTTTCATTATAGGCCTAGCCTCAGTGCCATTCCACAACAATTTAGGCCTATTTAAAACCGTCTTTGTAATCCCATTTTCCACTGGTGCTGGTAGGGGCATTTTTCTGAGCCTCCAGTGAGGCATCTCTGAGAGTTAAGTTGACATAGAGATTTAACATTGCAAAGTCAGTCTATTCTAGACTAGTATTGTGTTGGACTGTCTTTGGAGATACCCTCTCCTCCATTTACATACTAAGTGCATCCAGAGAACAATCCTGCCCTGTTAAAAAAAAAAAAAAAAAAAATCACAGCAAAACTCCAAATCCAAAGAGGCAACTGTCAATTGACTTCTTTTAATTGTTCAATTTTAATCTGTTTGGTGAATCTTTCTTTCAAGAATAACGGTTCGTTTTAACAGGCACATCTGTTTCCTTTTTACTCCATAGGGCTATTAAAATACCGTGCTTGGTTAGAATTAATAAACCTTCTTCACTTGCTCTATATTATTAATTTACAGTTTCAATTCAAAGAGTAGTTCTCTCTGAAGCAGCGAATAGCTTGTATTTGTTTCTTGTAAAGATTCACAGAAAAATCACGTCTTCATGTATTTCCAGAACATACCTCTGCAGCTTAAAGAAGCAGCATTACTTGGTATCTATCTAGCAGAAACAGCAGAATGAGAAAACTAACAGCTCTGCATGGATATTTTTCAGCAGAAAGATGTGAAGTGCAAAATAAAATCTGACTTTCTGGCCCATGACAAAAAGTGATGCAGCATCTGTGACTGAACTAAATACATGATTTCTTATCTACAGAAAAGAGGAATCCCTCTTCAAACCAGTAGTGGACTGTTTCTCCTCCCTTGTTTTGCAGTGAGAATGAACCACTCCATATAAGCACTGCATGGAACATATATATATATATGCAGGATTAAAATCAGTTTACCAGTAATTTCAGGGGTTGGATTGTGCTGTCCAAAGGTGGTCTGTGGAGCACACATAAAAACCCAGTCACCTAGACCTACTATTTGCAACTAACCAGCAGAGCTTGTTGAGATCCAGGTAGCAACCTGGGCAACCTGTGGCTACACAGACTGCACCAGACTTGTCATCCTTTCGGCTACTGGGTACAGGTCTGCCCAGGCCAAAGCTATTTAACGCTCAGCCTCCAAAACAGCTGTCTGTCTTCAAGCTGCCTGTTAGGAACAGCCCCTGGCCCAGGCATCTTCATGACACTGCAAGGACATTGCTTAGAGGATCATCAGCTGGTATGGGCCAAAGTCACACTTGAATCAGTCTAATGAGGTGGGTGATGTCTAAACATAGGATACCCTGGCAGAAAGTGTGTTGGCAGAGAGAGAAAAAAAAAATTAGAGAGAGAAGTAATGTGGAGTTATTTCTGCTGAACCCTGCTCTGCACAACTGGCAACATTCCAGAGGTCCCTTTATTAGGGTCACTAATTTGTCTCTCTTCAACCCACTGTATTAAACCACACTTTTTTCTTTCTTTTCTCACCCTCTAAAGCTCAATATATAGATATAAAATGCTTGATCTTCTTTAGAAAAACTTCCCTATCCTTTTCATGACTATTTAATTTTTCTCCCTGTTTATGGATAAGCTTGGATGCTGTATCCAGGATTATATCACTCTGTCTAGATTACTAGTCTCAAGAAGGACATACATTTGGGCTGTCAGTACCTGTGCTATCATATTTAGAGCTATAACTGGTTTCTTTACACTGCACTGCCCTCCCACTGTCCAAGTCCCAGCCAACTGTACTACCAAATTTAATTCTCATCTACTTGATACCACTTCCTTTTTATTTTTGTTCATTTTAGCTCTCCTGTCAGAAATTCTTTAAACACCAGTTTATGCTTTCTGAGCTCAGACAGAATACAATCAAGTCCTCTTTAGAGTCTCCTGGTATGTCTTGGCAAGCTCAGCCTGCTGTGAGGTTTCTCTCATGTGACTTGGGCAGCAGGTAAACTGTGGGGCATGTGCATTCTGTAATGCTCCTCACAGTCTCAATCCCTTCCCCTCCTTGACAGCAACATCTTCTTGCAGGGTGGCTGTGGTGGGGTTCACTGCTGGGTTTCATCTGACCAGATATCAAGGGCGGTGGCTGGGGGTATGCACTGGTGTTTAGGAACTGATCTCCTCTCTCCCAAGGCTGACATGAAGTCTTTGCTGCTTTGACCATGTCAGGCTTTCCTCAGGTCTCTCTGCTGGCTCCATGTTTTTATCTAGGGGAAGCTTCACATCTGAGGCTTATTCTGCTTAGAACTGTCACTAATGTGTTCACACAGAGCCTACCATACAGGAAACTTGTTTTCCTGGAGATTTTGGGGCCATGTCAGCCTTTCATTTAGAGGCTTATTTAACTGCATTCAGAACCAACATACAGGTAACATCTATACCCATCAACTCAACAAGAGCTCAGGCCAGCTGGCTGGCCCCATTCACTCTACTCCAACCCCTCTGCCTGTAGAGCATGATGGTTACCTCTGAATGACATCTTGGAAATGGCCCTTGTTCTGAGACAACTCCCAAATGATGCCTAGGAATTGCTTAGGGAGTGCTATTTGCCATGGACCAAAAATGTACCAGGAACCATGCTAACAGTTCAACAGCATAGAAATTAAGATGTATTAAATAGAAATGTTTGCCTGTTTAATGTACTACAATAAAGACAGTCACAGAAGCTATGGCCTTTAGCTTATAGGAACTATATGGCACTAGAAATAACCAGTTATTCAGAACTAGTATTGCAGTATTCAAGGTGTGCACCTAGAAGTTTGCATTGGTTTAAATAAACTATTTTTAAACCACAAGTTGGAGAAATATTTTCAGGGACTAAACCTCAGGTCTTGGGATTCTTACCTTTGATTAACTTCTCATATTGTTCTTTTGTTTGCAAAAAAACCTCTTCAAACTAAAAGGAGAGAGAATAGTGTCATCCTGCTGTATTTGAACACTTTTTTTCTCTAAGTGACTGCACATAACCATGCACAGAACACTGAGTCAGGTAAAACATTATGGGCCAGATCTTCAACTGCTCTTTATGAGCCCAGATGTCCTGAGGATCCCACACACACCCTGACAGCTGATGGGGAGCAGAAGGGCCTGGCCACTTCTGCATGAGGGCACTGATTCAGAAATAACCTAAATGCAGGTAGAAACAAGAGTGCAGGTATCTACAGGAGCAAGACAGGTTGGAGCCAATGTCAATGAAAGCACAAGGTAAATAAAATATTTTTAACCCCACCCCAGTTAACAACACTCTTCTATTAGACACACCGTAACTGCAAATTAGTAAGACTGAGTTAAGGTGGTTTTGCACGCTAGAAAAGTCAGATTAATCATAATGAATCAAAATGGGGATTTATTTAAAGACCCTTAAGTAATTTCTTCAGAGTATTGATACTAGCCCTAATAAACTGTAAGCTCAGCTGAGTTTGCATCCCAAATATTAACCACCAAACAATGTAGTTACAAAAATACAGTCCCACTGGCCAAATGAATTTCACCACCCTTATGCAGCCGTTTATCCTCCACATGCATGTTAAATTGTTCCTCAGTGAAGCCAGCTGAGAACACCAGTCTTTAACACTGTACCAAATGCGACCCCACCTCCACGCCGGCTGCTGCCAACAGCCATCGTACGGGCTCCATTCGCCCCCTTCCATTCAGGTAGGTGAGCCTGGGCTTCCCCGACATGCTTCTGAGCTCCTGGTTCCCTGAAAAAAATACTAAGCAGAAAACAGTATCTCTTAAAACTGGTGAAAGCACCATTACTTTGAGGGGAGAGAGGACCTTTCATTCTCACTATGCCTGTTGAAGTTTAAACTTCATCTGCCTTAAAACATGAGACATGGACTAATGACACCATACCACCTCTGCTAGGAAAGGAAAGATGTGTGAACCTGTAAAGCTTCCCCAGTGCTACTAGGGAGGTTTGTTATGATTATAAGCAAACACAGACATGTTTAAACAAGTGGTGTAAGTCCCTAGCTACAGGGGGAACCTTGCTGCATTTTAATACAATTATACAAAGGCACTGGAAATCTTACCACATCCTCAAGGAAGTTATTGACCCTCATTGACATCATTCTCATTGAAAAGATGAAAAGAAGTTAAAGGAAAACATGTTTTACTGGTATAGTAAACTTTGTCTAGCTTTATTAGCCATATATGCATTTTGCAGCTTCAACTGCAGTCTGCTTCTTTCTTCAAATAGGGATAAATGAATTGTTACTATTCCCTTTGTTCTGGGAAATAGGATAAGCTTCCTTGGCCATCCTGTCTCCTTGCTGCTTTTGGCAGCCTTGAGGTGTCCCTTAAAGCCAAATCTGGAAGCAATGGCTTCAGGTGCTCCCAAAAGTATTCCCCAGGGCTCAGGGAACCTGCATGCCCAGGGGACAGGCACATGGAGGCTGTCTGACACTTGCTGTAGCATCACCTCTCTCAGAGTGTGCAGCAGAGACAGTATGTTTGTATTGAGCTGTTTCATACGTAGGGACAAGCAGCTGGACTATCCATGCTGACACTTCAGTATAAGTATTTCCAAATTCAGGCCTTCATTTCTCTGCACTTCATTGGCCTAAATACCAAAAGAACAGGACTATCAGTTCCCTTCACAAAGATGTTTGTATCATACACTAATGACTGGAAGAAAAAAAACCTTTAAAATAGATATTCTAATCATGTCCTAATGGCTCAGAGTGCTTCAATTAAAAAAATAATTTTACAGATGACTCCAGTTTTCTCAGAGCTAGAAACCAAAGCTGCAACATTACGTCTGCCACACTTTGCATTCACTTGACATTTCTCATTTGAACTGGGCTTGGTACACTCTAGTGTATGTTTTCTTCAAGTCACAGTGCTTTGTAAGTGTACTTAAAGTACATTTGGAACATGTTTTGCCGATACTTGATTTTAAAGAACAAGATCGAGAGTTCTCCCTTGAGCAATTTCAGTAAGAACAAAGTCATGTTACTAGAATAACTAGGGATATTTTGGGTAATTTAGAAAATATAATCCAAATACACATTAAGGAAAAAAGTATAATGTTCAGTTTTAAAGTGTCTATAGCTGTTTCTAATTACAACATTTTGGCTCTAGGACAGTGTTTTATTCATTTCTGCACGTTGTGTGACTAGCTTTCACTGTAGGGCAGCTTATCTACATAGTTCACAACAGCTAACTGTAATGCCTCTCCTGTTATCATACTTGTCAGATATGTTGTATCCAAAGAATTTCAACACACACATTGCCCCACCTTGTAACGTGCAGAAACTTAGAGTAAATAAGACTTAAGTAAAAAAGCCAATGACTGCAATACCAAGCATATGAAACTTAAACCTCTTGGAAAAATTATCTATTGCTTGCAGAACAAAAGTACGGGGAGTAAAAGGTTTTAGGTATCATTTTACATGACCAAGAAATTCTAAGGGGCTTTAAATTATATGAGAAGAGCAAAGACAAATGAAGAATTAAAAATTGTCATCAGATTCTTTTTTTTTTTTTTTTTTAATTAAGAATAACTCTATCAGCTCTGAGTGGATTTTAGTTGTCTTAAGCTTCCAACACAGGAAAAAAAAAACAAACCACCTTATTTTTTGGTTAAAAGTCTCCTCAATCTTTAGATTCACTGAATGTATCTCCAGTTATTATACAGGGACCTGACACTGGTAGCTCACATACAGGCAGCTACTTTCAGTTCGTGGGTCTTGACTCTTGAGATTCCCTAAAGGTCAGCAGATACAACCTTGACTTACTGAAAACCAGGCAACTTTTTCTACATTAAATCTGCAAACCAATTTATCCAGACTCACGATACCTTTTTGCATCTGGGGGAGTGTTCAGCTGACATAGCCAAGGCTCCCTGAGGACTTCTCTCAGACCTCCACTATTTTTCTAGTTTTAGTAAAAGACTTGCAGGGTGAAGTGTTTAAAAAAAAGATCTAGTTTTGATAGAGTATGTTGATGCTTTATTAGTAATGAAGCAATCTGTCACCCATTCCTTACTGAGACTTACCAGTCTCAGCTGGAAAGGGTCTCTCCACAGAAGTTACAACTTTTATAAGAGAAGTGTAGAATATTTGGATTATCTGCTAAATTCTTCAGCAAAAGGAGTAGTGTTTATCTGAAAACCATATTAAAATCATTCAAACTCTTCCAAAACCAGCTACTAAAAACAAATGCTTTTTAAGAGCTGTAGGATTCTGCTACCCCCGGATAAATCATTCAAGGAAATAGCAAAACTCCTGATACCAATTATTACCCAAGATGATGGAGAACCATTCAATGGACACCTGACAAGGTAAAAACATTCAAGCTGTTGAAGCAAGATGCAATTTTCATAGCCTACCAGACTATGCACAAGAAGGGTAAGGAATAGCCTTGGGGACGGTAACTAACACACTGAACCTTCCTACTCTTACTCTTTTCACCCGGAGAAGGAACTCCACAATCGTGTAGTAACCACTCATGAAGCATAAAGGGCTCAAGCAGATTTAAGAGATGTCCTGTTTCTAAATCCCAATCTGGAACTGTTTGTTGTGGGCAGTCATATTATCTGAGTAGCAACCGGGTTATTGAATAACTGCTGTGAATGATGCAGTGGAGGCTTCACCACTCAGCCTGAGGCTGAGCACACAAACAGCTGAAATAATTGCATTAACAAATGTCTATCAGCTGTACAAAGAAAAGATTGTAAATATTTATCCTGTTTCTCAATATGCATTTGGAGTGTGCCATGCTACTGGGCAGTCAATAGAAGCTCTATGGGTTTGTAACTTATGATGGAAAGAAAATATCAAATGCTTCACCAATTACTCAACTGTTAAAAGCTATAAAATTGCCAGAGAAACTTGCTGTCATTCATCAGCCAGACAATAGCAGCAGAAGGGCAAATGAAGATATAGAAAATGGTCTAAGAGATACTGCTTCTAAAGGCACAGCACCACAGCTGTCTGAAACATGGGGCTTACAAATAGTCCAATGGTCTGAGCTGGTGCTGCTTGCCCCTGAAAAGATATGTGTGACTACTCCTGCTGAAGAAATTGACTCTTGCAAAAGACAGAACCAAAGTTTCCCAGGGAATGTAGAGAACAGATATGGAAAACCTTCCTATTTTGCCTAAGCAATACCTGATTCTCAGAGCAAAAATGCATCGCAATACAGGGCATTTTGGGACTACTGCACTAGCCTATACACTGCTGAAGAACTGGTTCATGTCAGGAATTTATGCTGCAGCCAAATAAGTAACTACCCCAACATCTAGCAAAGACCTCAACAAAAAATGTGACTATATACAAATGTTTTTATTGTTTTTCTATAAACTCCGCATTTCCACCCTATTTCCTAGTGAGCCTTAAAAATATGCCTGTCCTGAATTTCTCTGGGTATGCATCTCAGGGATGCATGAACAATTTAAGAGGACATGGCCTTCCAGAAACAGCAGTACCTGCATTCATCATGAAGTGCCCTTTAGCCCTGGAGATGGGATCAAAGTCCAGCATATCCAGTAGGACGGCTTTCCTGCTCAAACCTAGAAGAGACCAACACGGTCTGCACACTTTCACCCTCCCACACTTTGTCCCGGCTGCCTTGCTCAGCTCTGGATTGAACTGCAGGATTCATTTCCTGGTTAAAACATGTCTTTCTCTGGCATTCCCTCTCCTACAGCTTTCCGCTGGTGAGTCAATATCAAGCCATGCTTAGTCTATCTAGCACACAAACTGAAGAGAGCAGAGAATTTACGTTACCCCAGCAAATTTGGAAGTAGCTTCACTTAAAATAATCAGTCAAATGCTTTAAGAAAAAGGAATTTCTAAGTCAGTCCTTACCTTCTGACCTTAACTCAGTCTCCACACAGCACAGGCAGGTTCCCCAGGGCTGTTTAAACTTTGCAGTTCAGGGGAGTTTCCAGCCATACCCAATTAGAGAGAAAAACTCCCAATGCTTTTAAGCAGACACTACCCAATTTAAAGGCGTATGGCTCTGAAAATTGACACCCAGGGCAGACACTGTCAGTTTGCTGATTTCACTAGACCATGAAGGTAACCTCCTAGTTTCTGTGGTAGCCATCTATTTGAACTGAATTTTGGTGGCATGTTAGCCAAATACAAGAGCAAGACATGATGAATTGAGAAAATTATAGATTTTTCTAGGTCATATTTAGGGTATTTAAAGACACACCACTGAAGTTTCTAGGTTTGTTTCACTACTTAGCAGTAACCCAGGTTTTTTATTTTCAGTGCTGAATGGCACAAAAAAAGTTAACCAAAGTATGGGATAACAATGCTCCATTACTTTAAAATATAGTATCAAGCTTACTTAGTGATAACTTGATAACTTGAGTTTTTGTCATAACCTCACCGCATTTCTTAAGGCAATAGCATTAATTTTGGAAATTGTATGCACATGGCTAATACTCAGAGATGAAATAAACTATGATTTTCTTACCCTATTTCCATGAGAAGTAACTGTTTCAGCTCTTCCACCTATATTTCAGGTGAAAATACCAAAACTGAAAGTGGAGGCAAACAGACACAAGGATGACAGAGCAGATGGAAATAGGATTTGGGTGCCAAAGATTAGGGTCTCTCCTCTAGCATAGACCCACATGTGATATTGGGCATCACTTTACACCCCTACAGCAGACAGCTCATCTGAAGATCTGTTCACAGAACCCACACTGTTATCAAAATTGTATTTATCTGTGTAAAGCCACAGCACCTCACAATGGAGAATCTCAGGACAAAAGTCTCTAGGTAACTATCTTCGGGAAATCCCTCCAAAGCTGCTACTTTCTTTTTCTTCCCAGTTGGAGTTTCATTATGGTTTCTCTGCCTGGTAATTGCTGGCAGTCTCTTCTAAAGGATGCATTTCCAATAGAGGCTTCTTGCAAATTTGTAATTTCTGTGCTTCAGAGGTTGATGGTGTCAGCAAAAAACCTCTGTATGGTGCTTCTTTACACTTTGCCTGATTTTAACTCCCTCTCAAGTTCATAATTTAATGAATAAAGCATAACATTAAATGCATGCTTCTGTATTTTCTATGTCAAACCCAGTTACCACCAGGTTACTCCACACAAAATTTCCAAGTATGGGTCAAAAGTCCAGCAGATGCCCAAAACAGTTTCTAGCAGGCAGCATGGGCAGAGCACCTATTTTGGAAGGTCTCAGTGTGGTGTCAATGCATGCTTCCACTAGCTGGAAGCAGTGCCAGCCAATGGGCCCTATATGCCTAAACCAGCAATGCAGATGGGGCTAAAGTAGGAATGGGGGACATACAGGGATAGCTGATTAAAAAGGAGCATTTGTTCAGACCTGTCTGTGATGGCAGTGTTAAATCAAGATTAATCTATTCCTGCTTTTGAGGTCTTTGGTATCAGCACTTGAGTGACCGAGCTGGTTCAGGAACAGTGACCACAGAAGAGCATGTGGGTGACTGCTGTCACTTTGTCCCCTCTGCAGTCTCAGATGCTGACAATGTCAGCAATAGGCCTGACGGCAAATTAAAATGGGAGGAAGAGGTCCTTGATTTGAGGTTCAGGGATGAGTGGTCAAGCAAAAGCATTCTGATGCTTTTTGGATTTGCTAAACATGGCCACATCCATCTTTGACTGTTGTTCCCTGTCTACACATTCCTGTTTGACAGAAGGACTTTCCCCTTTGTTTTTATTTTGCTTCCAGCACAGCCTTTCATAATGTAATTACAAAGCTCCTTCGACATCTGAAGGTATTGTATCAGTGAGGTTACTACCATCTGTAACTTGAATAGCTGTTCTGAAGCTCTAGAGCAGAAAAGAAAATAAGTTTCTTTTATACATGATTTGTTAAGCCGCACCCATGAGTTTTCAGGCAGCAGGCATGGGGCTCAGGTGCCACTTAAAAGATCTGGGGTTGGGCACAGGTATATTTGAAATGGTGTGTATACCATGCCCTGGCATGTCAGGTTCCCACAGTGCTCTGTGGACACACTTCCTTGTGCTGTAGATGAGACCAGTTCAAAGTCTTCTCGAAATGTGCCTACATGCAATCCTCACAGACGACTACAGAGCTGGCTTGGGGAACCATGCCTGCTTACAGCATCCTCTCAGAGGTGAGCACAGGGTACATCACTAACTGCCACTAAAGAATTAAACACAGGAAGGTAGGAGGATTCTCCCCCTGCTGCTTATTGCACTCCTAAACTGAAGTACGCCACCACTGTGATAAAAATAATTAGAGTCCGAGTGAATAGTTAAAACAAGTCATGGATCACTTAAGCTTAGATTTGCTGCAAACTTTCAGTGACTGCTCTGGTTCTGTCCAGGAAGCTTTCTTTACTGGCTGCCCAAAGACAAGGTTAACCAAGCCTGTAGTCACCCTCATGCGTATTTCCGTAAGCTGTTTGGCACTCAGCCAGACCACTGCCACAGAAAAGTCTGATTTACACCCATTGCACTGCTGGTGAGGGGAGCTTAAATGGAGAGCTGGTTTACAGAATGATGTAATTTGTATTGTTTAGTCTTTATTGATCTAAGTATCTCGTAATGGTCAAAGGGCTGATTTATCGAGGCACAAGATAGGCAAGATCAAGGTTTCAAAGGCAACTGAAAAATAACTTTAGTGGTACAAACTTCATTGTGAAATATTTATCTTAAATAGCTTATGTATTATAATGACTTCATATTTGGATCGAAACTTGTGTATGTTTCCACTATCTGGTCTCTGGTATGTTCTGGGAAACTTTCTAAGACTCCCAGTTTATGTGCATTGTTACAACTAAAATTACAACTAATCTAAACTTAGGTTTGAAGAATCTTTTTATTTTCAAAAGAAGGTATAATGAAGTAAAGCAGAAATTTCAATCCTATTTTTGTCTGATGTTGACCAGTTATAAAGCTGGATAACAATTTGGGTTTTTTCTAATTAAAAATACTTTTTACAATAAAATAATTACAAAAATTGACCACTTTAACAAATTAAAAATCAGCTCTCCTCCTGTAAAACTTTTTGGGGGGCTTGTTCTGGTCCTTTCACAATAAAACCTGATTTATTTATACTTCTCAGACAAGAGAAATAGGTTTTATTGGCAACAAGTCAATTTCTTCTCTTATAAAACACTTTTGTTTTCACTGAAGTTTTTTTTCCCCTGGAGTTCATCAGAATTTTCATAAGACCCCATAACCCTAATATAGACTTCAGTATTAATTTATCTTCAAAGACAAATACTATCTCCTTCCTTTAAACACTCTTACACAGATCTGTCACTCTTACACAGATCTGTAAGGAAAAAAAAGAATCAGTGAAACAAGATTAGTGAGACATTATTTATACAACCTGGAATTATCCCACCTTTAAGATGCTCTTTATTCACTGTTTGGTAGCATGTTCAAAATTACAAAAATAAATGGGCTTTAATGGCATTTATAAGTAATGATTTAACTGTGCATTTAACTTTCTTGCAGGTAATGTAAAATAGTTTGTGAAAGGTAACTTGGCTTCTTCTCTAATGAGGTTTTCAGCATGAAACCCATTTGTTCAAACCTAGAAGAACAAAAATCAAGGTTTAAGTCAGAAAAGGGGTTGAAAAATGACAGCAGGTAGAACCTGGCTTCATTTCCTGGTAAAAAAAATATCTTTTAATGCTACAGCTTCTTCAGCTGGATTCATCATTGCTTTGTTGGCTGACAAGCTGGAGGAATTTCTTATTTGTGGCAATGTTGCTTACTCTTGCTTTAAAAGCATAAGATTGAAAACAATGCAACTACTGAGAATAGGGTGGAAAAAGTTCTAATCACAAGCCAACAAAAGCCTGTTAAATAAGCATCATTTGAAGGTGGCTCAGGGCTGATGACAAGGAAGAAGGCACCTTCCTAATGGTACGGCCTCAGAGAAAAGTATGTGCAAGTCAGACAGCACAAGCCTACAAGGCAAGGTATAAAACCATACAGTGATTAGTAGTGGGATAATCTGCCTTTCAGAATTTAATCTTTCTGCACTAGGCTGAGGTCAAGCTCTTTTTCTCTTACCAGAAAAGATAACATTCTATTCCATCTTCCCTTGGATGATGTTTCCAGGTGTGAGCTTAAATAGTTCTGCTGCAATGTAGAAATTGGTCTGAAATGGAAAGTAGTAGTTGTAGGGCAAGCAATATAAACAAATCTGTAGCATAACTGAAAAACTGCCCCCAGTTCTGCATTAGATTATAGCTAGATAACTATAGCTAGATAACTCATGGGTAAATGTTAGATTTGGATGTGGAGTTATACAAAGATGCTCTTTGAAAATTTCCACTATAGATCAAGGTCACATTAGGTTTTTTGGGTTGCCAGTGCCATGCTGGGAGCTGGTATATGACTAATATTCACCATGTCCCTCAGTATCTCCTCCTCTGAGTTTCTGCTTCTCACATCAATGGGAATTCAGGCAAACTGCATTTGAGACCAAATGCATCCTGTTTATTCATTCACAGCATACTGATTCCGTTCACTGAATTTCAACTTTCCTCCCTATAGTCAATTTCTTTTTTTTTTTATCTTCTGTGAATTGTTTTAGTTTTATCCCTTTCATAAAAATGTGAAATCGTGAAGTGCCATGGATCTAATTGCTGTCTTCACCTACCTAAAATGTGTTTACAGAGGGACCAGGACCAGGCTTTCCTCACAGGGCCATAGTGAAAGTAGGAGAGGCAACAGGCACAGGCTGCAGGACAAGAAATTCCAAGAGACGGCAACAATGCAGGTTTCTCAGGTCAAAGCCTGGAAGGGGCTGCTGGTGATATGTATATCTGTGCTCTTCTCTGCCCTGCACTCCGAGGTGGACTGCAGACGTACTTTCAGTCAGAAGCTGGAAGGTTAAACATGCCTTCCAGATAAATTGCCGTCTGATGATATTATTTATTTCTGCTGACTACAAAAGTAGTCACAGTTAGAAAGTGGGCATCCGGTGCTTAGAGGATTGAAGTTACTTTACCAGGCTTCAGGTCCTTCAAGTCCTTCCCACGGAGGTGGTATTTTTCGGGCTGTATGGCTGAGAATTGATCCGGGCTGCACAATCTCCATCCCACCAGTGCCCGCGGAGGGCACTTACCGTAAGAGCAGGGCCCCACCTGGGGGCAGGAAAAGTAAGGTCAGGCTAATTCCATGCCCACAGCTCCTGCAGTGTTGAAATGGAGCCCGGGAACACGCCGAGGAGTTGCCTAAGAATGAAAATGTCCCCTGTAGCAAATAGAAGAGTTTTTCCTAGGAGCAAGATTGAGGTTTAATCAACTCCGAATTTCGGGTTCCGAGTGCAGCCTGCCTAGAACTCCTCTGCACCAGCAGTGCCCAGGCAGGAACAAGGTGTTCAGCTCCTACACAGCTCCTCTGGAACATGAACTTCCCCCTCCTGGACCTCAAAGCTGTGACCACACACATGAGTAGCTCCAAGGCCACCAGCAGCTCCCAGTGATCCCCACGACCCGTTTGCAAACCCGCTGAGAGACTGACAAGCTTATTTGTATCACATAAAACCAGCCACTGATGTACAGGGTGTTGGCACTCGGGGGCTCAGCAGGGCTCTGTGAGGGAGCTCCGTGCTGGTGGTTCCACTTGGCTCCAACCCACCCACCGCAGGGCAGGGCTGAGCAACAGCCGAGGTGGGGGCACCTCGGGGAAATGTGCTTAAGATGGGTCAAAACACTGCATGACAAAGTGTGAGGGAAAAACAGCCCTGTGAATGTCAAGAGGAGATGGAGGCAGGGAGGTAGAGGAGTTGGTAACAAAGGAGGGAGAAAGTTGAGTGTGGGAAGGAGTGGGAGGAAGCAGTTCAGGTCTTTGTTTCTCACTGTCAAACTATATTAATGTGGTAATGAATTAATTTTCCCCAAATCAAGTCTATTTTGCTTATGGTAGCAATTGGCAAGTGATAGTAAGCGTAGGAGTAGCTGTCAAATGCCTGCTGTAAGCAGTGTTAGGAGCCCTCCGGTCAATCAGGCTGGATACTTTTCCCTGAATTTGGCATTTTGCTTTCTTTTGTTAGTGTTGCTATAGTCAGGTGAGAAGAAGAGACACCAGAAGCATGCAGGAGACATGCAAAATCCCTATAAATAGCTGATCCTTCTTTTGCACCTTTAGAGGTGCTCAGATAGTAGAGTTACATTGGAATTGATTGCAACCTAATGCAAAATATAAGCAAACACAATGCAGAATAATCTATAAAGATCCCATACAGCCATTAGAAACCATAACTTGTACTAAAGCCTATATCCTGTACTCACTATTAAAAAAAAAAAAAAAAGAGAATTATCCCAGTGTTTTAACTTGAACTTGCAATTCCATGGACAGGGAGTGTTTTAAACCAAAACAGGTTGTATAGGATCACAACCTTTACCCCCACTAAGCATAACTTGCCTATCAGAATGATGCTGCCAGCCGATTTGTACATAAATAGGTCTTACCTGAGCAAGGGTTGAGGACAAACCCAAGTCCTTCTTGGAAAATACAGCAAAACTGCCTGTCTAATGCCTAAGTCTTTGTGACAGTTAAGAGTAAAACAGTTCCTGAGGTTATGATGCATTCTTAACTAATTTTGAGCCAGGTATTATTGGGCCAGCAACATCGAAAGACATAGGAAAACCAGCAACAAGTCTCTGTATGTTTTACTTGCTTGTTACTGTCTTGAAGGCTGGTAACAGAACTGAAATGCTCTGATGTGTCCTGAAAGCATTACTGAAGTCAGCCAACAACCTAAATAGTTACTTCTAGAGTGCTACACCAGGACTCAAGGATGCTCAGTATGGGCATCTTTTACAGAAGTGCCATAGTCTAGTAACTGTGGTGGTAGTGGATCAAGGGTTGGACTTGGTGATCTCAGAGGTCCTTTCCAACCCATCTGATTCTATGATTCTATGAAGTTAACCCTGTTCCAAACACATAAGAGCTGATGACAAGGCTTCAGTACCAACTGATTTTCTGCTCACATCCAGTTACCGTGCCACACCTTTACTAAAAAGGTATGACCATCAGCTATTAGCTTATCATCAACAAGTACTGGTAGAGTCTCCTCCTACATCTACATCATTGCTTGTGGAACTTTTGGACAGCATTAAACCACAACTTTCCTCATATTCTGAAGAAAAATCTCACTTAGCAAAATAATTAACAATTACAGGATTTTACAAACTTTTGTATTAAACTAATCTGAGATTAAACCAAGGACTAAACTGCAATTGCAACTGACATTAGGAATGCAGGTGACTGATAAGATACTGTAGATCAGTACAAACTTTGTATACCTGGAAATGAGGGAAAAGTGTTTGTAGTGCTGAAAACTTGAGTCAGACTGAAGCTGAGGAGACTGATAAGTTTTCAAGTGGGCAACTTGTCTCTATCAGATGAGTGTGCTCACTGCAATCCAATATCCAGCAGCATCTTATTTCTCAACCCATAGCTAATACAGCTAAAACAGTGCCATTCAGGATTGAGCACAAGTCTTTTCATGTAAGTTATGTCATTAATATAGAACTATAAATAACAGATATAAAACCCCAAGATAACATCCTGCAGAGCAACTTTCCAGGCATAAGTGCCATTTGTTGAAGTGATTAAAACATTTTAAATTCCTTTGTCTAGTTGTCTGTGGAAACTACAGACTTAAAAAAAAAAAAAAAGAGGAAAAGAAACATTTTGAGTTTGGCCTTAGATAGGAACTACATAAGGTTTGTGTGGTGGTTTACTACCTCTCCTTCACATCTCCATTCTTTTGTTTATAAACACAAACAAAATACACCTTTGCATGAGGCGTATGTCTTAACAAGGACCCTGTTCATATAAAATATAAAGAATTTTTCCTCCAAGAAAAGTAAAAATTTTGTTTGCAAGCCCCAACTTTCATTCATGAGACAACAGGACAATGTGACCACATAAAAAGTTTATTTGATTAGAACAGATCCTCTAGATACAGTGGTTAAACAAAAATATCATTTAGCAGTAAATTTATTTCCTAATTCAGTAATAAAAGTGCAGCTTAATTATAAAGGCACAAGCCACAGGCAAGGCACTGATGTCCAGCAGAACTGGCAAGAGAAACACCTCCCTCCTACCTTCTTTAAAAACCACTTGTTTCATTCACCAACAGTGATATATTAAAAACAATAAAGGCATAAATTGGAAGCAATCATCATGTAAAAATCTGATCTGGATCTCAGAAATCCTCAGAAGCAGCAGAACATGCTGAAAGCTGTCAGTCACCGGCTCACGTTTCTCTCTTCTTCGCTATTCCACACACCATGCTTGCTGCCACTTCACTTGCTTAAAATTACCAGAAAAAAATCTCAAGATGAAGGAAGGAAAAAAACAGGCTGGTAATAAATTGTTATAAAAGATACCTGCCTACTGTATTTTGTCTGAGTGCACCAGACAGAAAGGCCTCTCGAACCCTCCTTTGCCTTCCTGCGCAGTGTAACTGTCTGTGTGCGGCCTGGCCGCCCTCTCAGCCCGAGCACAGCTGTGCTTTGGCCCCGCACACTAATTCGCTTTCAGATCGTAGTACATGCGCAGAACTCTTCTCACAGTCTCCACGTATTTATCATCAGGAACAGGCTTCCTCTGGCTTCCTGGCTCTAGGAATTTCTTGATTGTGGGGATGCTGCTTATCCTTGCTTTAAATGCCTAAAAGGCAAACAGTAAGTATCTGGTATTTAAAAACCAGAAAGTAACACAAGAAAAAAACAATTTTACTGATTTCTGTAATGTCCTTTAACAAGTTGTACATGGAGACAAGACAAGGAATACAGTTCTAGATGTGGATGAATTTTACTCCCCCTCACTTCGACCCTGTTATTTTCCGCAGTAATAAATCAGCCCTCTTGGGATAAAGTGGAAACAGTTATCTGTGATTTCTGACGTGTATATTACTCAAATCAGTTCCTGTAATCCAGAAAATATTTTCTGCTTAAAGGTATGACAGAACTGGCGAGAAGAGGAAAAAAAGGTGAGGTGCATTTCTTCAGATGTGTACAGGGTTTATTCTAGAAAATAACAGATTCTCTAGATGAAATATATTACAAGGCTCTTCCTAAAGCAAGAAGAATGAGACTACAGTGAAGAGGTGACAAATGTTTCATGTAATTATCTACACATAACATACTTTGAAATATCATTTATCCCGTTTACAGACATATGAGCATATTGTTAGTGCAAGGTACCTGTAACTGAGGAAAGCCTGAGAGCACATCTGACTTCTTCTCTTCTACCATTAAAATGGCTTCAAGAAGATGAACATCTGCCCAGCTGAAACTGTTGCCAACAAGAAAGTCCTGCCCGTGGTCTTTCAAAATCTAGAAACATCATAGATGACAATGTTCAGATGTGGACAGCCAGCTGGGGTTCATGTTTCCAAAACACACAGGCACACCTTCTTTGACCTTACTGTTTCCTTTTCACCCTTCTGTCCCATGCAGTTTCTAGTTGGGGGGGATGTGTGCCTAGTGCCTGCAGTCACTCTTCATTCTGCAGCTGTAATCTAGAATGTTAAGAGTTTTCCTCACCCACTGTTCCTTCCTATAGCCCTACGCAACCCTGTGTACTGGACTACAGGGTTAGATACCTCCTTGGTATTCATACCTTTCAAGCCTAATAAATCTTCAGTTTTTCCGTATGCAGTTACAGCTTCAGCAGAAAAACAGACAATGTAAAAGAGAGGTGATCAGCCTAAAACATCGGGGCTAAGATGCAACAAGTGGAATCTAGGGCAGAATGCACTCTGACAGCCACTACACTGGCAAAGTAGAAAACTGTCTTTTTAGTCTTTAAAACAGAGAAGCAGCTATTCCAGCCGGATCATCCTGACTTGTATATATTAATTATCAGCGAGGGTATCTCTGGAGTCCCATCTCTCAAAGCATCAAACTTAGAAAAACACCAAGATTCCAGTACGGCTTAAGCAGATTGCAGTATGGCTTGAAGACAGCAGTGACAGCTGTGTATTGCTGCTGAAGTGTTAAACAAAGATGACAACTAGCACTGCTTTTGCAAGGTGAGTTACTGTGGTGAGTTGACCCTAGTTGGACACCAGCTGCCCACCAAAGCC